AAAAAAAAAAAAGGTTGAAAACCACCGATTTAGAGATTTTCAGATCTGCTCCATGTTCTATATTTATTGCTTACTGCAGAATTCTTGTGGCTTGGCTTATAAAATATGCCTCAATACGTTTCCTGTAGCTTCCTTCTCCCCTCTCCTTCTGCTTCCCCTAAAACATTTCTTATTTGGAATATGCAGAGAAGTTTAAAATCTAGAGAACATGAGTTGTATCAGCAAATAGTTGTAGCTTCCTCCTGTTTGATGTCTAGAATGGGGGAGAAATGATTAACAGGGGTCCAGATTCTGGCCTTCCCTGAGTTAAAGAACTGCAGGTGAGTCGTGGTACTTCTCCTTGATGCTGCTTGAGGCTTACTTGGCTGGTTCTGACCTGTGCTGTATTAACTTCCCTGTCTCCAGGCGCTGGACCACAGAGTGCGAACTCTGAGTTCAGATCTCGCTGTCCGGGATGACACGATTGCTAAACTTCAGAAGGAAAAGAGGGCTTTGGAGGAACTTCACCAGGTAAAATATCTGCTGCATTGTGTTTATTTTACTCCAAGCTCATCATGCAGTTTATACTCTGGTAAAAAGTAGAAATGATGTCCTTTCACCAGGAGATGATAATCACAGCACAAATGGGATGGGATCCGAGGTCTTAACTCTTCTGGGACTTTCTGTTTCCCTAGGAGTTACTCATTGCAGAACAGTAAAATCCTGCCAGTTCACATCAGTGGCTGAGAAATCTAACGCAAATTGCTAAATTTTGTGTGAATGACTGCAAAGTGCATCTTGTGCTATTTGGACATGTCCATTGCTAGGGCCTTTGGGCAAGCAAAATGTTTTTCTTATGTACAGTATCAAGACGGCTGCCAGTGTCAGTGCTTAGCAGATAATAAGTTGTAATAATTACACATAATATTAGCAATAGCACTGAACTGGCAAATGTTCTGAAGTATAATTACTAGAAGTGCTGAAGTCCTAGCAATGAAAACCCCATTACAGTCCTCACTTGCTATGCAACGAGTGCCATGTTTTCTATACAAGTGATGGCGTATGGACTGGTCAAGAAAAACATGAACTGAGTTTTTCAAACTCAAAAAAATGAGTTCTTCGGTAATAGCACATAGTGCCATTAGAACAAATTCTGCAGATCATATTGAAGACTTATCTAAGTCTGTGGATGTTTTGCCCAAATAGGCCCTGAGCAAGAAGGGCTGCAGGACTTTGCTTATGATTATTAATATCTATTAAATTTTTAATTTAAAAAACCTAGGAAATTCCATGAATCACTTACAAACCGTTTAACCCGATGAGCCCTCACTGAGAGTTGGTGTAGAGACCATGCTTTTCTTGGCTGGTACTTTTCCATACACTGCTGGCCACTGATGACATTCTCCTCTTTGTCTGTCTTCCTAGAAAACTCTAGATGACTTGCAAGCTGAGGAGGACAAGGTGAATCATCTGACCAAAACCAACAGCAAACTTACCACTCAGATCCATGAGGTGAGGAATGCTTGATACAGGACTTTCATTACTACAGCATTTCATCTAACAACATGCGCGGGTTTGATTACAACACACTGAACACCGCTGGTAAACTTCCACTGGACTTGTCTCTACCGAGCCAGTTTGTCAAAACAATTTTTGACCTTGATTCCACTCATCTTTTTTTTCTTCCTGTTCAGGTGGAGGACAACTGGGAGCAGGAGAAGAAGATCCGTGGGGAAGTGGAGAAGGCCCGTCGAAAGGCAGAGGGTGACCTCAAAGTGACCATTGAGAACCTCAATGAGATGGAGCGAGCCAAACTGGATTTGGAGGAAGTCATTAAGAAGTAAGTGTCAATTGAACCAGAATCTCATTGACTGCGAGGATACAGTGGAGTTCAAACTGTGCAGCACCAGAGATCTGATGGTCATAAATGCATCCAAAAAACCCGCTTCCTTAAAAAATGACTGGTAAAGTTTGCCTTTATAACATGGCATCTTCCATTATTAACCTAATGCCAAGCAGAAATGTTATACAAGGGTTAGATTAGGGGACTAAGCATCATTTTACCAGCTGATGAAATCAGTATAATCACCATGACGTTGTGAAGTTTAAATGATTCTTATTTCTATAAGACTTTTGTGATCCTTGAACAAAACACATTACAGAAATGCTAAGTAGCATTGATAAACAGCTCGTTGTTACAGTGTTGCCATTGACTACCCCAGTGATGGGTCTGCCAGCATTTCTTTGACATACCTCCACTTAAAAATTAACTTAAGGGTACAAATTAACAGCTATGTATTATCCAAACCACTAATTTTGTTCATTAAATGGCTAAATAACTAAGTAAATGAATACAGCTGCTAATAAGTAGGTGCAAGCCTTAATAATGCTCATCTTTGCACAATGATCAGCAGGAAGTATAAGGCTGCCTCAGTGCAAGTATGAGTGAAGGCTATGCGTGGACATAAGTACAGTCAAATAGTAGGGTTAGTCCTCCACACTATGTAAAGCTTCAAACCCTTCCTGGCACATTCTGCTTTCACTTTTAGGAGTGAATTGCAAAAAGGGGCCAGAAATAGGTGTGACTGAGTACAAACAGGCTTAGGTACCAATGCGTATTATGCTAATGAGGCTGTTAGTTATGCATTGCCTTCTTAACCCTCCTTTCTGCTACCAGACAAGGCAGAAGGAAGGATTCCTTAAAAACCTCTTTTGCATTTAAATACTGGGTTGTAAAATCCCTGTAAAAAGTCCCAACTACCCCGAGATGCTCCTCCTGCCAAGATGAAATCCCTGAAAGTCTCTTGCGACTCTTCTTGCAGGAGAGACATGGAAATCAATTCTGTCAACTCAAAGATGGAGGATGAACAATCCCTGAATTCCACGCTGCAGAGAAAACTGAAAGAGCACCAGGTACAGAGCACTTGGATTGTGTTCACCCTAACATCCTCTTTTTGTACCCTATTTCTTGTGCCAGGGTCATAGAAATTACCCAATTCGTATAACAAGTTAATCCACACTCCTCAAAAGGAGCTGGATCAGCCTACGGAGACCCTCATCATTAATCAGAGACAAAGGCCATCACTGAAAAACTGCTCAAAATGAAGCCAGTCATGCCAAACATTTGTGACTCTGGGATTAGATTTTCTATATAGCATTACCGGACTGTGAATCTGGAGTAACTCTGCGTAGGTCAATACAGTCACGCCAGCATTCTGGGTAGGGTGGGATCTATTCCCCATTTCCCCAGGAATGAGGACAAATGTCAGTTGCTTTTTCTTGTCATGATTTATAAGACAAAATCCTTGGAAAATATGCTTTCATGGAAAACAGCAATTCTGCGCTTTTTGATCTATCTGCTCAAAACAGAGACAGGGCCCTATGATTCCTTAAGCCCTCATATATGTCATGCAACTGTGAAGTGGCCTCTTCTTTCCCAGGTCAATACATCATTCTATAGAGCTCAGCTCCGATACACTGCCTTCCTTTTAGGGAGATTTTTTTCCCCTTAACTGCTCTGAGTGAAGATCTAGGCTGTGGAATCACTTGCCCTGTAATTCACAATAAATCGATGGGTTTATCCCCACCTTCGGTCTTCGGTTCCCACTCCTTTTCCCAGACCTCACTTCCTGCTGTGCTTGTATAACTGCAGTTTCTGCTTTAACTTAAAATTCATCACAGATGTCCTGTCACATTGGTGCAGCAAGAAGGAAGCCGATCAACTGCAGGCACTTTCTGCTCTGCTGGTATCTAGCCAGCGAGTATGGCTGGCTGCGAGTTGAAAATCAAACCTAGGCCAGGGACTCCTGTACAGCACTGACTCCTCTCACTAAGAGCGGAGGTGTGGCCCAACAAGAAATGCTTGGTCCACAGGAATGAAAGAAAGCACTTGGTGTAAGACCCCCACCGCCCAAGGAGGCTTTGTGGTGCCGTTTGGAAGAGAAACGTTTTTTGTTTTCATCCAAAATAATCCCGTTTCTGGTCTTTCATCAAAAAGGCGGTATTTTCCATAAGAAAGCCAGCCCCATTTTTCTACCAATCAGCCTTTGAGGCTGCAAGGCATCTCCTGTGTGGGGGAGATGGTTACCCACCATCTCCCCCACACAGGAACCAGATGAATATATGTGTCTTTGTCTGCAGAAGAGAAGACCGAGGGGGCATTTAATAGCTGCCTTTAACTCCCTGAAGGGGGATTCGAAAGAGGCTGGAGCTGGACTGATCTCAGTGGGGGCAGATAACAGAACAAGGAGCAATGGGCTCAAGTTGCAGCAAGGGAAATGTAGACTGGACATTAGGAAAAAGTTTCTTGCTAGGAGGGTGGTGAAGCACAGGAACAGGTTACCCAGAGAGATGGTAGCATCTCCACCCTTGGAGGTTTTTAAGGCCTGGCTGGATGAAGCTATGGCTGGGATGATGTAGTTGGGGCTTGTCCTGCTTTGAGCAGGGGGTTGGACTAGATGTGACCTCCTCTGGTCCCTTCCAACCCCAATTTTCTATGATTCTGTGATCTTGCCAAGGATCAAATACCTATACGTGACATGATATAAGATGTAAAGCTAATCAATAAGAAAGTCCCAGTGACAATGATGTTTGTTACTTGAAAGACCTATTCTGGATCTTTTTTGGTTTATTTAGGGCCAAATTCAGCAGCCTAGGAAATCCAGTCAGAGAAGTGGATAGGTCGGAGGTGTTCTGAGTACAGAGTGAAGAAGTTAGAACTTGCATACGTACTTGCATAGTTTCCTTGTGATTGCCACAGTCCTTCATACTCAGATATAAATGCTGTGCCATTTGTTTTGCTTGTACTATAATTTGACGTGGCAATGTGTATCCTACAGGCCCGTATTGAAGAGCTGGAGGAAGAGCTGGAAGCTGAGCGTGCCTTGAGAGCTAAGGTAAAATTATCCTTCCAAAGGGAGAAAAACTCAGCAAACTGAAAACACCACAGGGATCTCAAAAAAGACTGTAAATTACTATAAAAGGCTTGGTAACGTAATAAAAGAAATAAACCTTCCCCATAAATGACTGAAATTAGCAATTTCTGTCCAGTCACCAGTAGCCTATGGCACGTAGATCCATCACTGCAAATGCCATAAGCCAGTCCTCTGACTAGACGTCTGGAGAAAAGCTAGTACATGAAGAGGACTTGCAGAGTGAAGTACCCTCCCGTTGCTGGCAGGGGCCTTGTGGGTCAGGGAAGGGGCAATTTGGGGGAAGCTGGCAGAACTGGTTATTTTCTGTCCTGTGCGTCAGCCCCGAAGCTATCCCTCTGTCTCTTTGCACAGACATAACTATGTATGCGTCATATATAGTAAATCTCACACAAATTGTATGGGAGTGATTGAGAAATATATGATCAGCCTTGGTAACGATGGATAATTCATGCTCAGAAAGACCGTATAACTACGGAATACCTGAAATGCTTCCTGTGACTAATATGCATTGATAGCATCAGTAATACCAGACATTTCCAGCTTTGATTCTCTTTCCCAATGCTAGCTAATTAATTCCCAACCAGGCAATGAGATAGGTGAGTATTATTAGCACAATTATACACATGGTGAGACTGAAGTCCACCACTTATGCCTTCTGCCTCCTTGGCTAGGTCCATCTGGCCAGGGAGGCAGAAGGTATTAATGGTGAAGCTGGGATGAGAGCTCAGACATACTTGCTTCCCCATCTGTGCCTCATTCATGATGGCTGATTCCAAAATGACCACAAGGCCACAGGAAGTGACCAGCAACTGGCTTGTAGATTACCCAAACCTTTCCCTCCTTTCCAATGAATGGTTGGATAATAAGTGTAAGCAGCTGGCCATGAGATATTCTGAGGGTTGACAAGTGATGTGTTAGTCCAAAAAGCCTGGGAACCACTGTACTAGGAGAAATTCACTGACAAATAAGGAACAAGTGAGAATGTCACTCCCACCTTCTCCCTAGGTGGAGAAACAGCGCAGTGATCTCTCCCGTGACCTCGAGGATCTCTCTGATCGACTGGAAGAGGCCGGAGGTGCCACTACAGCCCAGGTTAGTCCATCGGCAATAAGTGCATCTGACCCCTTCATTCCCTTTTCTCAAAGAAAGTAAAATAGTAATGAACTGGGAATCTCCCCAGGAGGAGACTCTGCAGAATCAGCCCTGAACTAGTAAGCAGCCAGATTTCTATACCATCCTCCATTCCCAACTGCCTCCCAGCCCCACTCCAAAACACCACCTACTTCCAGAAGAAGTGCCAGAGACTCCATGGTTCAATAAGCCATAAATTTCACTCTTGCTATTGATATTAGATGAAAGACAGCCCAATACTGCAGTGATGGGTAGCAGTATAACACCCTAAACTTGGTAGGTGAAAGATTTTCTGATGGAGCTGGTTCACCAGCCCATAGAAGACCTGAGCACATTTCCTATGGGGTCCAGAATGAAAAATATATGGCCTGAAGTGCAGAGAATGTTCCTATTAGAGCTTCAGGTGGTCAGCATGCAGGTGGTCAGCTCAGTCTTGAGGGGGCAATCACAGATTAATTAATGCAGCTGCCCTAGGGAAGGATGCTACCCAACAGCATGAGGCAACTGAAGCAAAAATGAAAGGCATCCAACGCCCTGTCAAAGAAAGCAGCTCCCTTGAGATATGTGCTGAGAATCTGGGCCTCCCCTGCTCCCAGCTGATGGTTCGCACACTTTCTGTTCTCAGATTGAACAGAACCGCAAGCGGGAAGCTGAGCTGCTGAAGCTGCGGCGGGAGCTGGAGGAGGCAGCCCTGCAGAGTGAAGCGACTGCCTCCACGCTGCGGAAGAAGCACTCGGATGCCATGACCGAGATGGGGGAGCACGTAGAGAACCTCCAGAGGGTGAAGGCCAAGCTGGAGAAAGACAAGCAGGTCATGAAGGCTGAAATCGATGATCTCAGTGCCAGCATGGAGTCTCTCCAGAAATCCAAGGTAAGGTGTGAACAGCGGGTCACTCCGAAACGCAGTGGGGCTGCATGTGCGTAAGTGCGGACAGAGCCTGACCCACTGCGCTTTGACTTAACATGAGATAAAACAGTCGTTTAGGGCTTGACTCCATGAGGATCTTCAGAGTGCACTTTTTGGACTGCTTGCATTGTCCACATAAGCCATTTCATTATAACTGTGCATAAACTGGATGTGCAAGTAGAGCAGGAGTTGATGCCTTGAGTCTTATTCTGCTTGACTGACCTCACTGTTGGCTTGCAGCTGAATTCTGAGGCCCATGTCCGCAAACTGGAAGACAACTTGGCTGAGGCCAATGCCCGGCTGTCAGAGATGGAGAAGAACCAGGCTGAAATTAATGCCATCAGGACCAGGCTCCAAGGTGAACCCCTTCTCTGCCTTGACATCTCGGTGCCACGCTCTGCCCCTCCTCATTCTTCAGTCTTTTCTGTACCTCTGCTGGCCCCTCTGCCAAGCCTTTCTCACTTTATCTCTCTTTTGGTTCATCTGGACTGAGTTACTTCGTCTCATGCTTGGTCTTTGCACTTGATTCTGCAGCTGAAAACAGCGAGCTGAGCCGGGAGCATGAGGAAGCTCAGAGTAGGCTTACCCAGATTGTCCGCATGAAGACTTCCCTCACCTCTCAAGTGGAGGAGTTCAAGAGGCAAATCGATGAAGAGTCCAAGGTATGAATGACAGTCGGGCAGAGTGCCATGGAGGGGGTTACAGGCACCTGTGTGCACTGCTCCCTTCAAATAAGGACTCTTGGATTGTGTTGATGACTCGGCTCACAATGGTCCACAGTAGGGTACTAAAAGCCAATTATCACTAGCACCTTTTATCCACAGATCTCAGTGCCCAGAACCATTAATCTCTGCTCCAGCTCATGTGAATGAGGAGAAAATAAAGTCTCCTGATTTCCAGGCTGATGCCTCATCACCTGGACCATGCTACTATTGACTTAAAATGAACTACAATTGGAACAAGCTGGGGCAAAACTTTAGCTGTATATCAAGTATATTTATGGCTATGTCTGCTAGCCTGGAGACACTCTTCATGCTTCTCAGGCTGGCTCAGTTTACCCAGTGGATCATTCCACCATGAATTGATCCTAAGTCATGGCAGGGAGTTGTCTCCCATCTTAGAGCGAGATAGAATGGGCTTTCCTGATCACTCAAATGAAGCATTAGTTTGATGGGAAGACTGATAATGATGGAAGGCCAAATTCATGCCCTTAATGGCAGGAGTGCAATTCAGTCATTGCAATTGCGTCTTTGTAGTGAGAGCAGAAACTGACTCTACGACCAGAAACATATTTTGGTTGTGGCCGTAAGTGTTTCTCGTTGGCTCAGAATTGAAAGCCCTGGGAGCAACTCCAGGGCATTCTTTGGTCAAAAGGACAAATAAATAGTGATGCTTTTGGTATCTCTAGTCTCGTAGTACTGCTGTTGTCAGCCTGGCCAACACCAAGCATGACCTCGACCTGCTGAAAGAGCAGATGGAGGAAGAGCAAGAGAGTAAATCTGAGTTGCAGCGCCTGGTCTCCAAGCTCAATACTGAAGTCACAACGTGGAGGACAAAATATGAGACCGACGCCATTCAAAGAACAGAAGAGCTAGAAGAAACCAAGTGAGCTTTTAACTTTTGTGGAGCTACAGAGGGGAACTACTGTCAGGAGTAGCCAATGTCATTATTTAGTTTGGCAGCTGAAGGAGTTAGAGTTTATGTCTGTGAGCTATTGGAGCTTAACTTGAAAAGATAGAGAAAGTGAGAGCATTCTGGCCCGGAGGAGGAAAGATGGAATGATGTCTGCAATAAATATGCAAGGAAGAGTGGGAACTAAAACACCTGGTCTCAAACAGAGCTGACCCATTCATGGTAGAGACAGATTAGAAAACCCCTCGCACACTGAAAAACACCCTGTAGCACCTGCAGTCCTGTTGAAGTCAATGACATTACTTGTGGAGTACTGAGCTACCAAACTAGAGAACAGCGGTCGGCATGTGGCCCTTAGGGATTGATAGAAGGGATATTATCAGAGCTGGAAAGGTTAGAAACCTGAGCCATCATTGGTGGTGAGCCCTCCAGAAAAATGTACTAAGGATCCTTCCCCCCTCCCAGTGGCGGCATGGGTTAGAGATCTTGGAGGTGTCACTCTGGGTTATATTTCTTGATTCAGATCTAATAGCTCTGTTTCATTTTAGATGGTATAGGCCAGGTATGGAGGGATAGACTGGAGAGCAGGGAGGGCAGGGATCAGTTTCTCCTTGCTGTGCTCCTACCCGTTACATCCCGGAGTGTAAGGCCAAGATTGCTCTTGTGCCAATGGACCAGCCAAGGGTAGAGGGCTGAGCTGGGACACCCACCTTCCACATCAGCCAGCCTCTGGCACCTGTCAAAGGATGTTGTGGTCCCCTCTCCAGCTTCCCCAGCGGCTGACTTCATTCTGAGTCGGAAGGAACGCCTCTGGCGAGTCCTACCACGAAGGTGTCTTTCTGCCGCACTGCAGGCTGAAACAGCCCTATTACTGTAACTTCACTGAGCTGCCTGTATTCGTGTAATTGCTTGCAAAGTTGGTTGGCCTCTGCAGTAAAATTTGATGGGTTGAAACGAATGCTGCCCAACCACTGAGAAGCCATGTGGCTAACTGAAGTTCACAGAAAACTAAACGGTGCTCAAAGCCCTGGCAAGAGAGGATAGTAAATTTTTCAGTCAATTTTCTTTGGGTCTATTGACCTTGATGGTATTCCTCTGAATGTGCATGAGGAGGCAACAGCAGGGGAATCCTCTTTCTCTTTTCTGTTTAGTTCATGCTTTAAAATATTCCTGCCTTTCCACGCTCAGGAGAAAGCTGGCCGCGAGGCTCCAGGAGGCTGAGGAGACAGCTGAAGCTGCTCAGGCACGAGTTGCCAGCATGGAGAAAGCCAAGCAGAGGCTTCAGATAGAAGTGGAAGACCTCACTCTAGACCTGGAGAAGGTAAGGGATCCCATGATTCAAGCACAAGATCCTGTCTAATCAATATACCCCAGGAAGTTGTAGGTCCTGATTCAAAGCCCTCCATTGGCTTCAGTGAGCTTTAGATCAGGCCTGATCCACATTATTTTTAAGGTCTCAATAGCACACCCCAATGCCAGTAACAGCAAGGAATTAGATTTATCCCATCATGTATATATTCAGAAAATGGTGGCAGAAATCCCACAGGGACATGCAGTGTGTGCCCCTTAATTAGATGAATTAACCAGCTTCTGGTAGCAGCAAAATCAAGAGTGCATATGGAGAGCCAGCTATTCTGTGTTGCAATACAAGGTGATCCTCTCTTCTGCAAAGCTATGCCTACAATGACATTTTATGTCCCATTTTCCACTTTTGCACTACCACTGTTCACAGCAGTGGTAGGAATGCTATTATAGACTACCCACTGGTGTTTGAACCACCATACCATTTTACCTTTTTTTTTACCGTATCTAGAAAACACGATAATGAAAAAACAGCAATTAGTGGCGCCACTGCTTTGCTACACTAGTATCTCCCTAATTGCTACCAGCAGCAGAGGTGTGTCAATGATAGTGCAGTCACAGGAAATTGGAATAAAAATGGTAGTTAAACCAGCCTAAGGGTAGCTCTAAAGCCCGCTGAAGTTAATGGGTCTCTTTCTGAGGCTAGAGAACATGCCCTGAGAGCTGACAACTGTACCACACTGTATTTGTGTCGAGCGAGGGTTTGTTTCAGCACCATTCTCCTTAATGCCACTATTATTTTCTGAATTGGTTCCTGTACTGTGTTTATTAACATGGTATGTGAGCTTGGATAAGGATTGTAAGAGACTGAGAAACATTTATGGGCAAAGTTGTGAAGCTCCAAGAAAGAAAAATACACCTTTATCCATTTCCCTTTATGACGACACAGTTTAACACCATCTAAACAGGGGAGTCCCTGTTCCCCTGAGCGCCGCAAGGAGTGACCAGGAACAACGGTCACAAGCTGGCAGAGGGAGGGTTTAAGTTGGACATCAGGAGGCACTACTTCACGGTCAGGGCGGCTAGGGTCTGGAACCAGCTCCCAAGTGAGGTGGTGCAGGCTCCCACCCTGGGGGTTTTTAAGAGGAGGTTGGATGACCACCTTACTGGGGTCGTTTGACCCCAGTGCTCTTCCTGCCATGGCAGGGGGTCGGACTAGATGATCTGCTCAGGTCCCTTCTGACCCTAGAAACTATGAAACTATGAAACTATAAAATAGTTTTAGATACTGTCTTGTTTGCAATTAGACTCAGAGTAATTCTGAAAGAGCCACAGGGTGCGACAAGGAAGGGAATGACAAATAGCATATCCGGGCAAGAAATATCTGGAGTGGCAAATGCTGGTTTCACAACTGCCCTGGAAGCACAGAAGCAAAGGAGACTTTCACACCAAAGGGAACTCAGTGATCTTGTTAAATCCCTAACGGCAAGGAGAGAAAGCCTAGTAAAAACTGTAATTATCCATTCAGAGTGACCAAGGGGAACTGCCAGTCTGTAGAGCTGCTGCCAGTTTTGCCATGGCTGGCTGGCAGGACATGTAAAGAAATGATGCGGAAAGAAAAACTTGTGTACAGTGGGCACTTGGCTTTCTCCCTCCAGGCCAATGCTGCTTGTGCTGCCCTGGACAAGAAGCAGAGGGCTTTTGATAAGATGCTGGCAGAGTGGCAGCAGAAATGTGAGGAGCTGCAAGTGGAGGTCGATAATTCCCAGAAGGAGTGCCGCATCTACATGACAGAAAACTTCAAGCTGAAGACAGCCTACGAGGAAGCCCTAGAGCACCTGGAGTCTGTTAAGAAAGAGAACAAGACTCTCCAGGGTAAGTACCGGTTCAGTGTAAAAAACTGCCATGAATCCCCAGTAGCCTCTGGATTCTTACAGGATCATGTTTTCCAGCTTGTCCTCAATTTCCCCCTTTTCAGCAGTGCTTTCACATATTTTTGATGCCTAGTAACAAGCGTAGTCCAGATTCTGCTCATGGGGACAACTTGACCAGTCCTGTCTACACACATAAGCACACACGCAAGCACACTGCACAAAACCAAGGCACATTGAGAATGCAACTGAAGTGCATTGCTTCAAGGGGAACCACTCTAGAGGATACCTGGGGGGGCTCTGTAGGCTTTAGTGATAGCGCACAGATTGGAGAGCACATTGTTTTTGTAGCCTCAGGATTAAAGGTAGAAGCAGTAACTCCTGCGCATCCATGCAGGGCTTATCTCTAAGGCCGCAGAAGATGAGGGAAGCTGGACTAATGGTTAAAGCACTGAACTAGGATATGTGAAACTTGGATTTTGTTCCCAGCTCTGGCCTTGAGCTCTCTCTCTAACTCTGAGCTGGTCACTTAACCTGGTTGCAATGCTGGAATTAGCCCCTCATGCCAAATCTCCATTTCCCTTCTTCAGAGGAGATTAAAGATCTGATTGACCAGCTGGGCGAGGGAGGGAAAAGCGTGCATGAGCTGCAGAAAATAAAGAAGAAGCTGGAGATTGAGAAGGATGAACTGCAGGTGGCGCTCGAAGAAGCAGAGTCTTCCCTGGAGGTAACAACTGTATAGTTGTGAGAGCTGCCTGTCGGGGCCCGGTGTGCAACCAGCACATCTGCTGGCCTTTTTCCAGGGAATGATTCACTTATATTTTACCTCTTAAGAGCCGTTCTTTCATACGTCTTGTACGTCTGCTGACAGGTTGAAGAGAGCAAACTGGTCCGCATTCAGCTTGAACTGGCGCAGGTGAAAGCTGATATCGACAGAAGGATCCATGAGAAGGAAGAAGAATTTGAAGCTACACGGTATGAAACTGCTCACCCATACCTACTTGGGGCCTTTGGACATAATATGCAGTGCCGTGGTAGAAGGGGAACGAATAGTCTTGCATACAAGTCTGTGTTTGCTCAGCTGATCTGTTGGATAGGATCTGACATAGCTGATGTATTACTAGATTATCTTTTGTAAAGAAACAGGTGATTTCAAGAGACCCTGGGTCAAATTAAATTCTCGGCTCTACCTTTGGAGGGTAACCAAAGTGCCCCAGATGCTGTGCTTTGTAAAAGCAATTTCTGGCTGATTATATATTTCCTGCTTACCATAACAGCGGAGCTGTCCACCAAGAGTTAAGCTACTCTCTAACAATTAGGTGGTTCCAGGATGAAACCTAATGAGCGGGACAGATTATTCCACAGTTACCTATCCTATGGTTTTTGCATCTTTCTCTGAAACAGCTAGCCAGCAGTCACTATTGGAGACTGGATATTGGATGCATATGAACCTTAGGGCACTTTAAACTTCCTGTATGTTGATCTGCAGTGCTTAAGTGGCAAAGCGGAAAGGCTTTGGTCCAATTCAAGCTTGTACTTATCAGCTTAATGGACTCTAATGGAGGCCTTTGAGAACAGTGTGGAGAAAAGATCTAGGAGCCCAATTCTGAACAGTTCCCTGAATGTTCCCTCTTTACTATTTTGGGACTAATTGCTTGACATTATCCACCTACTGCCAAAGGCTGGATCCAACTCAGTGTACCAGAATGTGGCGACTTATGCTTCATTGGTCTCTGCAGGAAAAATCACCAGCGTGCGATTGAGTCCCTACAGGCAAGTCTGGAAACAGAAGCTAAGGGGCGTGCTGAAGCTCTCCGGCTCAAGAAGAAGATGGAGACAGATCTGAACGAAATGGAAATCCAGCTGGATCACGCCAACAGGAACAACAGTGAGCTTGTCAAGACCCTGAAAAAACTGCAGCAGCAGATCAAGGTAAATTGGAGAGGTGGATGCAGAACCCTGCAGGGAAAGCTGTATCCAACTCCATCTGGTGACCTATGCATCTAAGAAAGGGATGATGCAAGGAGACAGTGTCAGGTCAAATTTGCCTCTAAATTTAGGTTTTGTTATCAAAGGGCCTGATTTAAAACAACACCCTACAATGAAAACATGGTTTAACAGACCTTCCCCTGCAGTGCATTCAGCCCAAACAGTGCAGCGTGTGAGACCCTGGAAGTGAAACAGCCTGGAAAGCAGCTGAAAAGTGAAACTTGCCCATCTATTTTCATTGTCCAAGTACAGGGAATTGCAAAGAATGCAAAGGACATGAGAAGGGCAGAAAAGAAATAAATCTTTTACATTTATTTCCATTTTCTTAAATTTTCTGTTTTAAATGCCAAAATCTCAACTTGTGCATAATTAGGGTAATTGGAGCTGAGAATGTGACTCATCAGACTCTCCAAGGTATTTGGGTAACACAGAGAAGGGGGTTTTTTTATATATTTGCAGGCCAAATTGTTGTTGATGGATTGATACTGTTGACATCAGTAACTCCACTGAAGTCAGTGGATCTGTGCTGCTCTAAAGCAACCATAAGTGAGATGAGCATCAGGCACATTGATTTTGAATCCCTTTCTTTAAAAGAAAGCAGAGCTGCCTAACAAGCCCTGCAGCACCTCGAGGCATCTTCTGAGCTCTTGTTATTCACACTGCTCCTTTTTTTGCCTGCAGGATCTTCAGATTCAGATGGACGAGGATGCCCGCCAGCATGAGGAGCTCCGTGAACAGTACAACCTCCAGGAGCGCCGCCTCAGCCTGCTACAGACAGAGCTGGAAGAAGTGCGGTCTGGCCTGGAGGGCAGTGAGCGCTCTCGCAAGCTCCTGGAGCAGGAGCTGGTTGAGATCACGGAGAGGCACAATGAACTCAGTGTGCAGGTAAAAGCAAAAGCCCACCTGTTTGCACAGACCCCCATGCAGGCGGGTCTGCTTCTGATGCTAATGTATCCAAAGAAAGGCTGGGATCGAGAAAAAGTTACTAGGCAGTGAAAGAATATTCTGAAATTGGGAATAAAAATCTGGTGATTTGCCAGCAGTCATCTGCAAAGATGGCAGGACTTGGCCCATAAAGGATAAATAGACATTAGGATTCATGGGAAAAGGCCTATCGAATTTAGGGGGGACTCAGTTATGCAGGTTTCAAATTAAGGGAGGAATTTTGTAAAGCACTTAGTATTGGCCCAGCTCTGGTCCCACCAAGACACCATGATAACATGTCTGTCACCTTAAGCACGAGCACAGTGAGGACTATTCTGGGCACTTCTGAAGATCCCACCCTAACAATTACAGAGTGAAGAGCTGGTTCCATTCAATTCAATGGCTGATTTGTTGCCGCTTCCATGTCGCCACATTTCATTCACGGACTTTAATAGAGGGTGAGATCCATGTGACTAGAAGTGGGATCCTCCTATCGAATCTAATGGGAAATGATATTCCTGTTGAAACATTTGTGGACTGGCTTAAAAATTCTATAGATGGTTTATCATTCTTCATTATACTTGATAGGCCTTTTCCATAAAAGATGGACTTAAGCGTGTTAAGGATTCCCAAAGAGGGAGAAGGTATAAAATATAAATGGCTAGAAAGGATGGCTAACAAGAAGAGAAGTTTATCTGTATTGAGATTATAATGGGACATTGTTCATCCAAATTGAGTTATAATGCTATTTTTATTCAGATAATAAAAATACAGCTCATACACTTGTAACTGAGTGATGAAGAAAGACTAAATTTCTGGCAGCTAAGCTGCTGTTTCCATGCTACGTTTTCTTTTCTTGGTTGCTTATCCTATCAAACCAATACCACGCAGAACATGTATCACCCTGTGTGGCACGTTGACACACAAACCTGACACTGATGTGTGAATGAAGAACCTGCAAATCTATACAATGCATTTCTTTTTACAGGGATATTTTTAACTGTAGAGATCTTAGTATTTGGTCTGTTTATAAAAAAAACCCAAAACATGATATTACCTATTCCTAAAGTAAATGATAGCAGACAGTAAAAATTAAATCACCTGAAGAGATTCAGATATCCTACGAAGCCCAAATAACTATATGCTAGAACAGGGGTGGGCAAAATGCGGCCTGGGGGCGGGATGTAGCCCGGCAGACCATTCTATCTAGCCCGCAGGGCCCCTAAAAAATTTAGAAAATTAATATTTATCTGCCCCTGACTGCCTATCATGCAGCCCTCGATGGCTTGCCAAAACTCAGTAAACGGCTTTCCGCCCAAAATAATTGCTCGCCCCTGTGCTAGAAGCTCTCTCGGGCAGGGGCTATGTCTTTTGTATATCTGTAGACTGCCTACCGGAGGGGATCCTCAGCCAGAACTTTGGCCATTGGATTCTACTGCAACCTAGTTTTGAAATAATAATACGCACTCATCTACGCACACAAATTCAATGAAGCTGAACCACAACTAAAGACACTAGTAGACAAAAGCATTCTGATATACAAATAACTAACCCTGGAAGGCCAGCTACATACTTGGGGTAAGGTCAGTGACATTAAACCCTGGATAAAGCGCACTCCCTTTAACAACATGTTGCCTAATAGAAAAGAAAGCAAATTCTCTTTGCGAATCAAAGTGCAAATCATCTGCTTCAAGGCCAAGTACAAGGGCTCCGAGGAGAGGAGCTGGGGTTTGCTGGGTTCCTGAGTCTTTTCTTCCCTTTCCAGAACCAAAGCCTGTTGGTGATAAAGCGCAAACTGGAGTCTGACCTTCTGCGCATCACAAATGAACACGAGGAGATCATCAGTGAGTACCGGGCAGCGGATGAGAGAGCAAAGAAGGCCATGTCTGATGTAAGTTCCATCCCTGTCCTTAACGATGAAACGGGGAAGCCGACAGGATCTGTATCACATTCTCGCATCCACTGCTTAATTCTGCAGTTCGTCATCATAAACCGTAGCGCTTCTGTAGCGTTTTGCACCCCTCCAGAGCAGCGTGCATATCACCTCATTTGTGCATCAATACAGCCAAGATAATCTGAGTTGGGAAATAAAACTGAGGGAATGCGGTCTTAACAGAGAGATCTTCTACACAACTGATAGCACCTAACGAATACTTCCATTTCCCCTTCATTGTACCCCTTTCCTTTCCCTTCCTCCCCAAGTCACGACACGTTTGGCTTATCACTAGTGGCAGCATGTACAACTGAAATGCTGAATCCTGAAGCCCACTTCATAATATCTATCACGCTTCTGAGGAAATACAGGGCCCACTTCCCTCTACCCAGTTAACCCCCTTCATAATCAGCAAGGAGGACAGAAGAGTGTTGAGCAGGCAACTAGCACATCAATAGTCGGAGATTTAATGCACAGCATTTCTGCCTGAAGAGGTTGAACTTTGTCTCTCTTGTGCCTTCAGTTACTGCTTAATTTTACAATATCTTCACCTGAAATCTATGGTATGTTAGGATTTACCTTCTCTCCAGGGGCGGATAGATGGCATAAAGTTTGGAATGTCTCTAGGCAAAAGGAGTGTCACTGAAGTCAGAAATGACTGACTTAATCACAGACTGGGGAAACACCTTACACTCTTATAGTACTATCAGCAAGCACAAAAACACTTGCCTTGAGGCCTGATCCCAAGCCCAGAAAGTAAACCAGATTATTTCCATTCCATGTCTTTGGATCAGGCCTTTAGAAAGCCAACCTATGCTACAAAGAACAGACGTACAGAATCTGTACTTTTTCTCATATGCCAGCATGTAGACATCAGGGCTCCATATCTTAACTTCCAGGGCTTAGTATGAATAGTCTGTGCTGACAGCCAATTTCTTACTGTCCTCTTAGGCTTCCCGTATGGCAGAAGAGCTGCGTCAGGAGCAGGATCACAGCATGCACCTGGAAAAAATCAAAAAGAACTATGAAATCACGATAAAAGACCTGCAAGTCAAGATGGAAGAGGCTGAGCAGTTGGCCCTGAAAGGAGGAAAACGAACTATCATGAAACTTGAGACACGGGTAAGAAAAAAATGTACAAGTCCACTGAAATAAAGTTCTTCCAGCACACCTGTCTAACCCTTTCCCCTGACCTTAGCATCCGTGTTCAAGAGAAATAGCTGAAAAGGAAAGGAGTGTTGTCCTTAAAGGTTCCCTGTATCCCTGATACAGCAACATGAATTAGAGATAGAAACAGCTATTCTGGACATCATATTCCTTTGAATGCAAGATGCCACAAATTGTCTGACTCTCATTTTAAGGAAAAAAATAAAACATCAAATGAAGACACATCTACGGTGCAGATAAGAGCCAAGGGGGAGATAACAGCTTTTGACTTTCTTTTTTACTCAAATTAAGACACAGGACAGCTTAGAAGAAACATTTTGCTTCAAAAAGCACATCATATTAAAGGAATATGGTAGATAGGATCCATAGCTATGTTAAAGAAGTTCAGCTCTGCCTCATTGTGTCAAATGCAGTGTCTGGCTGGATCCTAATTACCCCTGGGCATGACAGTAAGACACAGCACAATTAACCCTCCTTTGATTGTCTCCCATCGATGGACAATCTACAAGCCCCTACTGGCCCCAGTGATAGTCTTATTCTTTTCTTTCTTTTTCCCCATACCTATTGCAATTGAAGCATAAGGTATGAGGATCTCCTGCTCCTGGGTCAGACTTTGCCTGTGATCATAAGATCTCTAGAGCCACCATTCTACAGCCCATCAAGACTCACTTGTTCTCCTGGATTTCCTCCTCCTTTACAGATTAAGGAACTGGAAACAGAGCTAGACTCTGAGCAGAAGCGCCATGTGGAAACAGTGAAAATTCTGCGCAAAAATGAACGCCGTCTGAAGGAACTGGTCTTCCAAACAGATGAGGACCACAAAACCAACCAGCGCATGCAGGAGCTGGTGGAGAAGCTGCAGAACAAACTGAAGACGTACAAGAGGCAAATCGATGAGGCTGTACGTACCCTGGACTTTAACTCTCCCCGGTCTCAGACACACAATACTATGCGATGCATGCAAGTGGAATGCCATATCTTTACAATAGACAGTGCCTCAAGTAGATATTCAGTCACAAGCTGTGGCATCTCTAGTCACACGGCTTTAATAAGCTCCTGTTTCTGTTGATAATACAGGCACCAATGAACCGAGAGCTATAAAACTGCCCTGAAGATAGGTGTTGCCCTTTGCAAAAACTCAGATCAATGCATGTTGTCCCCTCAGCTCTACCCTCAGAAATAACCTCCAACATATATGTGTGTAAAAGATATTATAGGTCCAACATTTTACTGTGCTCTTCCTCTGGCTGCCTATACTGAAGAAATATAGTTAGATTCGAGCTGTGCTAGCATTATCCAACGCAAAGAGTTGTTGTCAAAAGTCAAATGTTCTCGTGTGCCCAGGAGGAGCAGGCTAACCAGAGCTTGGCCAAGTACAGAAAGACCGTGCACGAGCTGGACGATGCAGAAGAAAGGGCTGGGATGGCTGAGACTGCTCTAAATAAACTGCGCACAAGGCACCGCGTCTCCGCCACCAAGGGGTTCACGTCTGTGGAGATCATCCAGGTGTCGAAGCCTTCCAAATCGGCTTCCGAGGAATAGACCTCTCTGCTCCGACCCTGCAGCAGGTAGGACTGAATATCTGCTTGCCTCGAGTTTATGATTTCATAAAGGAGGGATCGCAAGGGATTAGGAAAACACGGGTGGAGTTGCTAACACTAAATGACTTGGTGAATTCTCTGAGAGTGGTGACTGGGTCACTGCACATGGCCCTTCTTGTGCGGGAAGAGGTGTGCTGAAATGGTATCATCAGCATGGGGAGATATTCACATTGGGTACAAGGGGAAGAAATGATCAGAATGGCCTGCTTCATTCTTGCTAGAGGAAGCCTGCTTAAGGGCTAAATCCTTCCTTCCAGACAGTAACCTAGCACACCAGAGTCCTTGCTAAGGAAAGGCCCAGTCAGAGGCACTCTAGTTTGGCTTGATGGAGCAGCCACCCCCCATGCAGCCCTATGCATATCACTAAGATATGAGGACAGAGAAAGCAGGAATCCAAAGCTATACAGAAAAAATGTCCTATTGCCTTTCTCCCATGCAGCCAACTAGGAACTGAAGGAGCTGCAGAGGCTACTTTAATCCTAGAGCCCTGGAATGGGCCCTTCATTGCTCTATAACCCAGAATAAGTGGTGTTGCTCTTTCCTTCACATCCGTCACACAGAGCCTCGTAGAAAATCATAGTAGTGACACATAAATCAAGATTTGGTCCCATTAAGGGAAGCCATTGGCTCAATTAGAGCTTTGTTACCTGCTAAAGGGCACTGACATGGCCATTGTAGCATTCTCTCTTCTTTCTCCTCTTTATAAGCCTTTTAATAGTAAAGCATCAGCTACTACAATCTAACTCCAGTCTCTTTCCAGCGTGTCACACACCTTCCTAACAGCTGCCCATCGCAAGACTGCTATTATAGTGATGAAAACAGCAGGCTAGAGCTAACAAGGAGAAGCCCACGTGGGAAGAGACAGACAGAGGGATGGAAACAAGGAATGTATGCAGCTCTGTGGGGGAGAGACCTATCTCTGTGTCACCCCGTGAGAGCTTGAGGCTGCGACTTCCCCTGCGTGTCCTGCACCGTGAAATCATATAGGCATGTTTGCTGTCAGTGGAAAGGGGTCTGTTGTAACACAGACTTTGCATTTTCATGTCAAGGACGGAAGGTGTAAAGTGTCTGTGTGACCTGGGCTGTCTCTTGTAAATAATTCTTCACACTAATAGTCTTAATGCATAGTCTTAATAAAGCTTCCTGGATGAAAGAGAAACTCAGAAGAGCTGCTGGATTTATTTTTGCTTGTAGAATGAGAATGGGGGGCTTCAGATGGTTATAAGGCAGTGAGACCTGTGCGGGGTGGGAGCAGTAGGAGTCTAGAGGCTGTGGGGACGGTTACAGGGGGGAGCATCCCTCATTCTTTCCAACACCTCCCCTGCCTATCACTTGCCAGTTGAGAGCAGACAGACAGGGAAGGCAGAGCAACCACCCAGCTAAGCAAGCTCACAGCATCCCCAATGGCTGGCAGAAATACATATAGCTATTAGCTATGCACACAACCTTGCTAAGTTCAGGAAGAAGCAAGGCTATAGTGCTGAATATTTGACACTTTATACCCAGTGGATCATGCCTTAAATCTGCTCCCAAAGATGTTCACTGAAGGCTTGGCTCAGTGAAGGAGTTGAGAATCCCAACTCCCATTGCCATTGCTCTTACACACAGCAACAGACCCCTGGCATTGTGTTCTGAACTGCACCGGGGCCAGGGCAAAGAAAGTGCACACCTGAAGACAGCACTTCCTTAGAGATATGAGCAAGCTGAAAAGTATTTGGATTATGTGCCCTTGTCTTCTACTGTAGGCTATGACCCCTTCACATATACTGCACATAAATAGAAATTAGAATAAGGCACAGCAGCTGTTAGACAGGCCCCAGCGTTAGCTTGCTACAGAACTACAGGAGCAGAAGAGTGGCTTAAATTGACAGTTATTAGTTAAGAAATGCAAACATGGCAACTTTTTAACAATCGGGGTGACTATTTGAGACGAAAAAGGATGCTCTTGATCATTGAGACAGCTGCAATTGATTCTGAAAATGGATTTCAATAAATTATTATAATCCACCTGGCTCCTTCTAGGGAAATCATCAGTAGACATATCTTGGAAACACCTAAATGTTGCAGTATTCTCATTTTTTTTTACAGAATGTCCAATGTTGTGATTCTTTCACTGTCCCTAAAGTGATAAAACACCAGCAGGCAGGTATTTTCATCCACAAATATCTATAATTACCATTTATGAATCCAAACATGTTTTGTACTTGCAGTTACAAATCTGCATGTGCTTGCACGTAATCTGCAGTTGCCTGCATTTAAAAAAAGACCCACCTGGTTTTCTCAATACCTTCAAGTAAGACTTCCTCTGCACTCGCATTTTTTTCTGAAAATCTCACCGTGTTGCCCTAGCATTATTGAAATTCCAGCAGTGTTAGCACAATTATAGTAAAAATGCCAGTGACAAGTCAGGACTAACATCTAATCCAACCCAGCAAATCTGGACATGTTAAAATGGTAAGAATGCTGCCATCCTGCCTGGACTAGGATTTCCATTTTGCACTAGTGACGTATCTGAAGCAGCAGTCGATTTTCAGCAAATCTTCATTGTAGGCAAAGCCTTCATCTATTGAGCATTTAAAACTCTGAGCTCCCACAGAGTTTCTGGTTTGGCTGCTTTCACCCTCGCCTGCCAGTGAAAATCATTTTGTAAACCTAAAACTGTATTTAAATGCAATTTCGTCCCTATTATGTAATGTGATGTGACCTAGTTACATATCTTTAATCTGCACAACTAAAATGGTTGTATAATCAGACCAGTAACAACAGCAGCAATTGCACATCTCAAAGAGTGGCTCTTAATTTTCTGCGCAGTCAGCTCAGCCCTTTTTGTATGGTTGAGTTACTGGACTTCACCTGTGATGGTGTTTATCAGTGAAACAGTATCAAAAAGTGCTTCACCTTTTGAAAACCACAACCCTTTAAAATCATGGATTTTCAAATGAAAAGAGGCAGCTTCACCCACAAAGAACTGGAAAAGAAATCCAGGGGTCACAACCCCCTTCACTTCCTTTTGGCATAGGTAGGGGAAAAAGGGTCCTGAAAGACTGAGTTTTGTTAGAATCATAGAACCACAGAAAATTCAGGTTGGAAGGGACTTCAAAAGGTCACATCTAGTCCAACCCCCTGCTCAAAGCAGAACCAGCCCCAGCTACATCATCCCAGCCAAAGCTTTGCCTACCCGGGTCTTAAAGGCCTCCAAGGATGGAGAATCCAGCACTTCCCTGGGGAGCCTGTTTCAGTGTTTTACTACCCTCCTGGTGAGAAAGTTTTTTCTAAAATCTAACCTAAATTTCCCCTGCTGCGACTTGAGCCCATCACTCCTTGCTGTCATCTGCCACCACCGAGAACAGTCCAGCTCCGTCCTCTTTGGAAACAGCCTGCACGTAGTTGAAGACTTCTATCAAATCCCTCCTCGGTCTTCTCTTCTGCAGCCTAAATAAGCCCAGGTCTCCCAGCTTCTCCTCATAAGTCATGTGCCCCAGCCCCAAACCATTTTTGTTGGCTTCCACTGGATTTCTCTCCCACTTGTCCACATCCTCTCTGTAGTGGGGGGCCCAAAATTGGACACAGGACTCCAAATGTGGCCTCGCTAGTGCTGAATAGAGGGGGGGGTGATCACTTCCCTTGCTCTGCTGGCAATGCTTCTACTAATGCAGCCTTGTATGCCATTAGCCTTCTTGGCAACAAGGGCACACTGCTGGCTCATATTCAACTTATTGTCCACTGTCACCCCCAGGTCCTTTTCCAGAGCTGCTGCTTAGCCAGTCGGTCCCCAGCCTGTACCACTGCCTGGAAGCGTGCCACCTGAAGTGCAGGGCTAACGGTCACATCAGTGAGGCAGAAGTAGATTCTTGCTCCCAAAGTTTAACTTTGTAGACAAGCTTTGAAAAAGAGACCAGGAATAAGGGACTGACTTCAGTTCAGAGAAAAGCCTGAAGGTAACAGGTGTGTCTCAGGGTGCAGCCTATGTGCTTGACAGTGAGGGCTGCATCCTGGAAGGCCCCCATGCAGTTCCTCCTGGACAAAGCCTGGCAGCCCCTGGGCCATGCTGCATTGCCAGGGCTGTGACACACCTGCAGCCCAGGCAGAGCAGGTCAATGAAAGATGCACTGATTGGGTAAGGCGGAGCTCACCTCCACCCAGGGCTCGCACCCTGCTCCTCCCCAGCCCCAGCTACACCCCAGCCCCAAAGACCCCTGCAATGACTTGCAAAGGAGCAGCAATGCACTAACAACCCCAACCCACACCAGTGCGCAGGCTCCACTCTCGCCTCCAAGCTACCCGCACTGCGCATGCTCCTACTACTCCCTCAGTCCCACACCGCTCGCTTTTCCCCCTAGAGACTGCGGAAAGCGGCTCGTCTTCTATGCGCATGCGCACGCGCACGGCGGGGAAGGGGCGACTCCCGGCAGCTCCAAGCCCTCCCCCACACCGCCTTGCCTCCCGCGCGCAGGCGCACTGGGCCCAGGGGCTCCTGGCGGCCGCGCAGGCGCAGTGGCAGTTTCCTGGATCCCTTGTCAGTGCCGGGCCCCGCCGGCCGCTCCCTCTTCGGCCTCGCGTGGACTGACCAGAGTCCGCGGGCCGCCCTCCCCTCCCCTCTCCCTCACCAGGTAAGCGCCCCTGCGCCTCCCAAGACCGTGAGTCCTCTGAGGGGCGTCGCGCCTCTCCCCCAACCCCCGCTGGGGTGCGGGAGGGGGAGGGGAAGGGGGTGCAGCCCCTCCCAGGGTGCGTGGGGGTGCGGGAGGGGCAGCCCCTTCCTCCCGCGTGGGGGTGTGGGAAGGGGTGCAGCCCCACCCCCTCCCAGCCCAAGGGGTTTAGGAGCGGGGTTGGGGTGGCCCCAAGTTGCCTTTGGGGAGTGGTGTCCTGAGGAGCAGGGGGTAAATGGGTCAAACGAGACAGGTGGGTGTAGGGAACGGAGGGCGTGTCTTTGTCCCTGTGCGGGACGGTGCTGGAAATCAGCGCGGTGGGAGCAAGCGTCCAGCCCCCCACCCTGGGGAGGGCACAACAGGCATGGTGATGAGTCTCCGGCTTTCCTGCCATCGTCACATGGGCCTGGAGGGCTGCAACACTGCTGGGCAGAGCGCCTCGAGTGCCTGGGGAGCGGGGACATCCTGTTTTTGGGAAATAGCTGGTGAGGGCTCAGCGGCACTTCATGAGTTGCAGCCCACATGAAGTCCAAGGGCTGGGAACCGAAGGTCGTGACACAGCGGACGGTGTGTGTTGAGTGCCGAGTTTTGGAAAATAGCTTTTTCTAGAAATAGCTGCCAGCTCTGGGTGAGAATATGAGAGCACTTCGTGCATCATAGCGTGCCTGGTCTTGGTCCATGTGTACAAGAGCTCTGGATGTTGAGGGTTGTGACACTGCTGGATAGCGTGGGTTGAGTATCTGGGGGAGGGCAGGGTCCTGGAAAAGAGCTCACCTGGTGTGACAGCTCCGAATTAGTCGCAGACTTTGTTTTAGTCCGTGTGCGTGTAAACCCAGGAAACTAAGGATTGACACTGCTGGATGGAGCATGTTGAGTGCCGAGGGACCAGCAGCATCCTAGTAGAAAATAGCTCTTTGGGAAATAGCTGGTGAGGGCATGACAGCGCTTAATGAGTCGCAGCCTTGTCCTAAGTCCACGAGCGTGTGAATGCGGGAAATCAAGGGTTGTGGCTCTGCGGGATAGAGCACATGGAGTGTCTAGGGAATGGCAGTATCCTAGAAAATAGCTTTTTTTGGCAGAGTGTTGTCTGACACGGATGTTATCGTGGATCGAGAATTTTGCTGCATGTCAGTAATGCTGAGGAGTTGTGGGATCAGCTGGTATGAATGAGCATGCTGCCCTAGAAACAGCTGCGTGGTGCTTAGGGCTGAGTATAGCTCAAAAATTGCATGAAGACTTTTCAGGGGGGTGGTAAAAAAAAAAAAAATCAAGTCAGGAAAAGGAGATTGCGGATACCAAATGAGAACAGGGCATGGAGGTATTCTATTTTTTTCTTTTTCTTTTCTTTTCTTTTTTTTTTTTTTTTGAGAATTGTTTTGTAGTGTTTTGATGACCCTCCCAAACACTACTGTCACCCGATACAAGTGAAGACAGCTGAACATTATTAGCTCATCAGGAGGATTTATTCCCTGGAGGGACACTGTCAGTTGGAAAGAGTGGATCAAAACTCTCTTCCACCTTTGGGGAACAAGAGAATATGTTAGGTTAGTGCTGAATATGGGAGATCTGTGTAAGGTGATCAACAGTTGTCATGAATTTTTTTCATAAGCTTCAGGACCAAACATGAGGATCATGAGTAAAATGTGTAAAGTCCATGTTATGAAGACAGGAGTGTCTCTCCAACATGTGAGGCCTGTGTATTACGAAAGTATCAGATTATGGTAGGAACAGTGGTTTGAAATATAAAAAATAGCTATTTTTCTATATATTTGGCAATATTATATTTTGGGAAGAGAGAAAAGGGCTGAGCAATTCTTGCTGGTGGAACAGCTCTTCCACTTTTTCTGTATATGGAAATGTAGTGCTACTGGCCAGCACTAATACAAGAACCTGAAAAAATGTGATTTGCCAACACATTTTGCTTAGATTAACAAGTGGAATCTCAAATCATGGTTGCCCAAGGTCAGAGTTGATTCAAATTCTTGCTAATGAGTGTAAAGACATAACACCACTAATTATTTTGGTAGGACTGGATAAACCTCTTTATTAACAGTTTAGATTCATATACTAGATTACAAATAGTAAAAGAACATGTTAGGAAATCATGAGGCAGTTAAAATTACAAGCTGGCCTTTTATTTATATGAAGCTTTTAGCAATTTGTTTTCCCTCAGAATGCCCTTTTAAGAAGTAAATTTACCTGATGCTTCCCTAAGTGCAAGGTAATATAGCATTTAAGTATTAGGCAAAAAATCTGTTTTCAAAATATTTGCATTGTTGTAATGCTGTCTGACTACTCCTCAAGGCTGTAGCACCTTTGGTACACTTGTTAAACTGTTAGTGTAAGTTTAATGTCTAAACTCAGTAAGAAGTTACTCATCTTTCAGTCACTCCCAAGTTTCTATTGGGTTGCCA